TAGCTGGGTGACTCTGGTCCATCAAGCATTTAACTTGGCCTGTTGGGGAAGGCTTTCATCTGCAGGGTTTGGTCTGTTGATCTTCCTGGAAGGAAGACTTTTCCTCAAAGAGACTGCCTACTCCAGAGGAGCATCTTCCTTCCAAGAAGTCTTTCCCTCTCACCTGACACTTTGCCTGGTAGCTTTCTCTAGACCTGTATCTATAGCCTGTGTCACTCTTGTGGGCTGGGTGGGAGATCAGCTTCCTCCTGGGATTTAGCCCTTCTGCTGGGTCAGCTGCAGCCTCTCCTGATTTTCCTGTGGGTCATAAGAGTTAAAGGGCCAGATAGGTCCCTCCCAATACAGTATCTAGTACTTGCACCTGTGACAGGGACACAACAGTTACTTAATTTGGCATTTCTTTGTGCAGAATTCTAGAGTTACTCTTACACTTAGAATTAATGGTATTGATTCTCACATATTTTTGTTTTATTAAAAGCCTTTCCTCTTTTTAAAGCTGCTTCAAGCGAAGTATTAATGAGTACATACTCATGTTTGAGGCAAGTGCAAAAATCAGTTTCTCTGCATTTGCATGACTGGCTTTAAGTGGGCTTTTGTCTGCATCTATTGTAGTAGAATAGAAAAGCAGTGTTGTTTCAAAATACAACAATGTACAGTGTAGTGTTGAGTTACAGTGGACAACAAAGCTGTTAAGTATCTTTTGTAGACAAAACTGGAACAAGTCAGTAAACTGAAGTAGGTAGTTTAAATACGTATAATTCAGGAGATGGTTGGCTAGCTTATTGTTTTACAGAGTGGAACCAGCTTGCCAGTTTAGTATTCATTTTTCGTTTAGTCGTTTAGTCGTGTCCGACTCTTCGTGACCCCATGGACCAGAGCACGCCAGGCCCTCCTATCTTCCACTGCCTCCTGGAGTTGGGTCAGATTCATGTTGGTTGCTTCGGTGGCACTGTCCAACCATCTCATCCTCTGTCGTCCCCTTCTCCTCTTGCCTTCACACTTTCCCAACATTAAGGTCTTTTTCAGGGAGTCCTCTCTTCTCATGAGATGACCAAAGTATTGGAGCCTCAGCTTCAGGATCTGTCCTTCCAGTGAGCACTCAGGGTTGATTTCCTTTTGAATTGATAGGTTTGTTCTCCTTGCAATCCAGGGGCTTCTTAATTTTTAGTTGTGATAAATTGAAATTAGGGAAATACTTTGAGGGAAAAATATTCACTTAATTTTAATAAACTGGATATATATGCATACACAGTCAAACAGGCTGATTGATCATGGCCTAATATCAACTGAAGGTGGAGGGCAGCTTCAGCTTTCTTCTTGAGTTACATTCTACAGTACTCTGATTTCAGGTCATTTCTGTGCAGGTTTTGCAGAGAGATGAATGAAGAAAAGATATCACTAATGTGTATGAAAATTAATAAGATGTCAGAAGGGACAGTAAAGTGTAGTAATTTGTCTTGTAGTGGACTAAAAAAGAATTGTGGCAGTGATGAAGCCTCCCACACATTTGTCGGAACCATAAGAATGTCATGAATGTTTATGAACATTGTCTTCAAGGACAATGAAGCTATTAGAGGAGAATGCTCAAAATATTTGTATGAGCAGGAATTAAAGGTATGTTTAGCCTGAAACATTTCTCCAGGAACTAGAAACAGTACGACTTCAATCAGCGAAATCGGGAAACTAAGTGGTGGAAAGCTGAATGAGATCCTCCTTTACCCAGAATTAACTACTGTTTTGTATTTCATCAAATATGGAATCATAGGATATTCAGTTTAGAGCTTGTGATGTCGCTTGTTACCTTAGGAATGACACATCAGTTTTTGTTATTTTTTTAAATAGCAAGATACTTAAATAGAACATTGCAAAATGCCCAAATTTTTTTTTCCACATGACCCTCAAAAACTGTGTCTAGAAACAAAGATTAAACATCACATGTTACACAAAGAATTACTAATATCACCAGTTGTTATGTTGGAAAAAGAATGTCATTATGCCATCATTGCCTCCAAAATGATGCATGCAACAAGTAATGCTGTAAATTGTAATTTGCTATTTCAAAGTGGTTGTTCAAATGCATCTATTTCTTCTGTCTCAAGTAATAATAGGACTCTTTGGTTGTCTCTGCAGTAATCAGGTTTTTCTAATTCTCCACAGAAGCTGCTCTCAAATTTTGTAGTGATATATACATCTAAATATGAGTTTTATCTAACATTTTCATTGTGGCATCTTTTACATATGAAACAAATAAATTAGGAAGTTGCAATAGTGCATTGGAAATGCAAACTTTTCCTTTCACTGATGTTGATGGAGCTGTACTTATAGTAATAAAGGAGTTTCAAGAGGATATAGACATGGATCTACTTTCACGAAACATCTCTATTTTCTTTTGCTTTCACTGTATAGTCTGCAATTCGCTTGTAAATATATTCAGTATTTGAATTTCTAATTAAACACACTCACAAGTACTACACACAATGCACATTCTTTCATCACTGTAGCCCACTTCCATTCCTTTAATAAACACAGCTATTTTCTCTTACACATTGAATAATTTTCTAATCCTCAGTCTTTCTTGCTATATACGACACATCATTTTCTCTTGCATGCATGTACACACTCACCCATTTTGTATCTCTTATTCCCATGCACGTACAATTTGCTGCTGCTGTTGCTTTGCAGAGATTTTACATAAAAATGTCAAAATTAATTTAATCTGAAAGAACCTTGAGCATCTTGCAAAATATACTGAATTAGGTGTTACTAGTATTGAAGAGCATAGTGACATAGCAATATGCTGAATATTTTTCCCCAGTTTATTATTGCAACTCACTGCCTTTTGGGGGAAATAATCCAGAGTATTTTCTGTAGGAGAAAGGACTTGTTATTAGCTGCTTGGGAACATGGTCCCGGTCTAAATATTGCACATGCCATGCAGATTTACGTTGCAAGCAACGGTGAATGTCTAACTTTTTTAGACATATCATTTGAATGCTGTCACAGTGCAAGTCGCAGACTTGTATGACTTCTCCACCTCACATCATTGGCAAAACACAGTTCAGTGGCAATGACATGCCTGATAAAATGGTTCCCAGATGTTCTTAGGACAACAGCTTTTAGTAGTCATAACCAGCACAGCCAGTGGGAGTTCTCACTCAAGAACTTCTGCAGCCCCACGTTTGGGAACTAAATAAAGTACTTGGTGCATAGGAAATAGGGATGTACCATTTGGTGTTTTGTTTTTTGTTTTAACTCCCAGAATTCTCCAATCTGGAAGTTCCACCTGCCATACCCACACTAAAATGGTACTTATCTGGGAAAAAAAAGAGGCCCGGCTGGAAGGCTTGATGGCTTAGAATAAGCTGAGTTCCAGCCTAGCTTCCTGTTACAAAAGTGCTCTGGCTCTGGGGCCAGTTTAGATTTGTATTTGCCAGGTGGAACTCCCAGAATGGAGGTTTCTGGGATTCGGAGTCTAGAAATAATGAATGGCACATATGTAATAGGAAAGTTTCCAATGGAATGCTGGTTAAGCTGTTCATTTGGTACACTGCTGCACAGTGTGAGAGGGCACATTCTTCTTGCCTTTCCAGTGCCTCTCTCTGACAGGATCGTTCTCACAAGGACACATTATGGATGAGTAGCAACAGAGATTATTGATGTTGCTAAAGGTCAGATGATCCCCAAGGCAGCCTTGCTTGCAGTGCTTCCTTATGAAGGGCTGAGGTATAGCGGGGCATCCTGATGATGATTGTGGGATCATGTGATTGGTAATTTCTCTCAATTCCATTGTATGAGGTAGGAGGCACAGACAACTTCTGGGTTAGGGCTATTCTTTGAATTAGTGGGGTTATTAAAAGATGTCTGTGAACAAGAGAGGACTTATATTTCTTCTTGCAGTTACTGCACTAAGGAAGCACAAGCATGATTTATGGTTTGTAAATGACAGTTTGAGATAAATATGTAAATTATTTACATGTTTCAGGAATTAAAGACTTCCTCACCTCTGTCCTGTATCCCCAGGGATTTCCCTGTGATTAAATGGGTTCCACATACACCTCAGAATCTTCAGCAGGGAGAATGTTTTTTACTTCTGAAAAATGGTTGTATCAGCCTTACTCAATGTAACTGTGATTTATAAATGTTTTCAAATAAGCAAATATATTTGCCATATCGTTAGACAAAAATCTACCCTGATCCCATACTAAGCAGCCCCCCCCCAAAAAAAAGATTGCAAAAGGAATGTGTAACTAAGGAGGGTACTCTGTTAGTGACTTCTGTTTTGAATACACTTCCCATGGGGGACATTAACTAGAGGAAAAACAGCCCTGAGATGAACTGCTGTGTACATAGGTGTTCTGTGGCCAAAGTATAAGGGCACTATTTGCATTTGGACCACAAGTATGCTCTTTTGTACTTCTAAATATTCTTAAGCTTTGCTCTTCCGAGCTTAATTATATATAGGGCAGACTGTTGTTTAAGTGTATGACTCTGCCACTGTTGTGTGTATAAAGCTCGATCTGTCATGGCACCAGAAGATCTCCTAAAAAGGGAAATGCATATAAACTGCTTAAGGACTTATAACCTACAAGAGTGTGAACACATGGTCTGACTATTCCTACTGTTGGTTCCTCTTCATCCCTGATTTTCTTGTAGGACACTGAGTTTAGAGGTAACAGGATAGAGGTGAATTAATTGGAAGGTGTTTTGTTTGGATTGTAAGTGGATTCAGATTGGATTAATGGTAAATAGAAAAGAGAGAAATTGGTAACATCAAGTAGTTGATCGTACAAAGTAGGATATAAAAAACTTGGATAGTTTTACCAGGCAGATGTCTAGTAACTAGCTCCATTCAAGTGAAAAAAAAGTGTAAATTGAGCTATGTATTTGGAAGTAATTGTGCAAAACTGGTTTTAACAAATAGTGTTAGCTTATTACAATAACTCAGAGAATGTTGACCAATACTTGCTTCAATTTGTAATATGTGTTTGTATATTTTTCAGGTGAAGTTTGGAAACACAACATTTAAGACAGATGTGTATCCCAAATCTCTTAATCCTCAGTGGAATTCTGAATGGTTTAAATTTGAGGTAAATTGACCAAAAACTAACTAAGTACAGAAGCAATATACAGATCATAGAGCTAGCATTGATTGGGATGATTGTTCTACAGTAATATTAAATGCTTGGGCATCTGTAGCAATTGGCTGATTTTACATTCTGTGAAATACTGTTTGGAAAACAGAAAGGCAAATAGGATAAAGCTATGCTGACCAGAGAAGGCCCATGGTATCATTTTTGTTTTTGACTAGATCCCCAAGACCCATCAGTTGGTGTGTAGTACAAAGAAACCTGGAATTTGGTTTTAAGTACCAGAACTGAAAAGATTTCCCAGTCCTTCCTACACAAATGCACACTCATTGTTACAGACTTTTTCCATTTTAGTGGTATAATTTAGCAGGAGCCATGCAGCTCCAGTTGATCTTCCAACTTTAATTCAGTATCCAGAACAAAACCCTATGTGTTAAAGCAAGTATCCAATATTATTTTGAAGCTTTTTATTGCTGATATTGGTAAATAATGGGCATTAGAAAACCTCACAGATCTACAGTGAATCTATAATTTCAGTCTATCTTTGCTACTTCTTGAATCAAGCATGTTGAAAACGTACTGTGAAAATTGGAAATCACATAAGTTAATATTTCAGAATGCTTCCTAGTATAAATTTCCTAGTACATTGCTGTGTGTCATTCCAGATGTAAAATGGATATTTCAAATACTAGATTAATTAAATAATATTGGATTGCAGCTTGTAATCACATTGTGAACTGTCTCTGAGAGGATAAAAATGAAATGGAATAAATATGTGCCATTTTTGGAATACACATCACAATCTGTAAAAAGTTAAATTTTTGTTGCAAGGTTAGAAAAAATAGGAAGATTTGCTATATTTTATATTTTAATTTGCCCATTTTATGTTGGAAATGTTGCTGGATTCAATGGAGGCAGACATCTGACAAGGTCGTAAGAGAAATCGATTTTAATGGAAGGTAGAAAATAAATGAGGGAACATGGTAAGAATAGCAATTGATGTCTCTTTTTTAAAATTCTTGTTATTTGAACTTTTTGAACCTTATGCAGCTCCTTATCAACAGCCAATAATGGCTGGAAGAGAATAGAAAAAGAGGCAAGGACATGAGGTTGTTGCCCATTCACCATGATTTACTGCAGCAATGGTTATGCTAAATGGATATGATGCAAGTTGCAGTCCAGTACATCTCAAAAACACCAGGTTCATGAAAACTTGTTTAGTGCTGTGTAACAAGGCTTATATCTCTGCCTAGCCCCATGTGACATATTTGTAAGCAAAAGGTTGGAAGAAATTGTCTCTTTTTGAAGCTAATCATTGGGCACGGGATTTTTGGAATTCGTGGACTTCATCCCCCCATGATGAAGATGGAGGAAATGGCTAAACCTCCAGAGGTTTGGGTGGGGAAATTCCTGCAGACCTTTGAGGGTTGTAGTTCATGACTTTCAAAAATCTCATACCTACTAAGCACCTTGCCACATAGCTTTGTGACAAGCTGGTTTATTGCCTCTGACCGAGGAGCTGTTATTATAAACTACATATTGTATGAACAAGTCGGCCTCAGAAACTACAGTTAGATCTTGACTTGTTTAGGAGAGCTATAGTTCAAGTAAAATTTTCTTAATTCAGATTCTGCCTTGTGATATGATATAGCTGGATGCTGATGTTTTAATTTATAGGTAGATGATGAAGATTTGCAAGATGAGCCTCTACAGATAACTGTCCTTGATCATGACACATACAGTGCTAATGATGCCATCGGGAAAGTTTACATTGATATTGATCCTCTCCTCTACAGTGAAGCAGCTACAGTTATCTCTGGCTGGTTTCCAATATACGACACAATACATGGTGAGAGTTTTGGGTGTTGTTGGTTTTTTTTTTTTGAGATTTACTTTTATTAGACAAAACTTTCAGGAGATTTGAGATGCATTAATTGTGCTGTTCAAAATCTATGAATCATATCAGGAAGAAATCTCATACAATGATGTAGAAGAAAACTCAAGCAAAAAATAAGGAGTTCTGGAAACATTCTCTCTCTCTCTCTCTCTCTGCGTCTTGAAATTGCGGCCTGTTCTCCCAGCCCTTGAAGTTATTTCTAGTAGCCACACGTCTGTATTTCTCTGTATAATAACGGATCTGCATTACAGTTTGGCTTGTACTATTTTCTAGAGAGTACAGAACAGGACATAGGGTCATGAAGGATGTTGTCTTACTGCCAGCTTTGTGATGAACCTGTTGACTCCAAAGGCTGCTGAAGAAATGTGATATAGTAGTAGGGTTGGAATGGGACTTAACATTGTGCTTGCAGCCAGGGACATTTATGATAACCATCCTTGAATTGCAGAGTTGGAAGGCACTCTATGGGTCATCGAGTCTATCAAGGAGGCACAGTGCAGAATTGAACTCCCAATCTCTGATTCCACAGCCGGATTCCTAAACCACTGAGCTATTCAGCAGTTCATACCAATTATGGACAGCTTCCTGCAAAAATTTCTTCAAAAAAACTTTAGTTAGGTGTTTAATTCTGATCTTGTTATACTTACTGTTCTAGACTGAGGTTACTTTATCTTCCCAAAAGACAATGGTTCCCAAGAAGTTTGAATTTGCCAAAGCTCCAGCTTAATCTTTCACCACAAATGTTACCCATTGGGATGATATTGTTAGCACTAAATCATCTCTCTCCATCTTCAAATTCTCCAGATGTTCTGAACCTCCATTCCCATGATTCCTTATTGGTGAAATTAGGTAGGACAGATGGGAATTACATTCCAATATATCTGAAGGACACAAGATTCATGAAAGTTGTGGTGCCTACTCATTAGTATAGATTACAGTCACACAGCTGTCTGAGAGAAATTTGACCATGTAATGGGAGCATTAGGAGTTGTATGTGGGACCATTGCTCATCTGTATGGTTTTTCTTGTTTTTAATTACATACCTAAAATAATAGTGTGCTAGTTTAAAAATACAGTGGTGCCCCGCATAGCGATGATAATCCGTTCCGGAAAAATCGTCGCTATATGGATTCATTGCTATGCGGAACAAAAAAGCCCATAGGAATGCATTAAAACATGTTTAATGTGTTCCTATGGGCAAAAAAACTCACCGTTATGTGAAAATCCTCCATACGGCCATTTTTTTACCCAGCAGCCATTTTGGAACCGCCAATCAGCTGTTAGAAAAAACATTGCTATGCAAAAATCGGTAAGCGAAACAGCTTACCGATCGTCGCAAAGCAATGTTTTACCATTTGAAACATCACAATGCGATCGCTTTTGCGATCGCAAAAAAACCATTGCTATGCGGATTCTTCATTAAACGGGGCGCCTGTTATGCGGGGCACCACTGTACTTCATTAGGTCATCACATGGTCATTTTTGCCTAAGAATTATAAACTCACATAAAACCTAATTTAGAAAAATATTTTCCATAGATTCTAGTACCTTTCAATGCAGTATTTCTTGTTTGCAATTAGAGATAAAATACTATGCTCCCACAGTATACAAATTATCCTAGAGTTCTTGAATACTGAAAATTGATACATTGATTTGTTAGTGACATTATGCAGTTACTAAGTTCTTCCTCTGAGACCTTTTTAATGGATTCTTCTCTTATCTGATAAGAGGCAGGTGATGATCTGTAAAAGGACCTTTACTGCTGTGTTATCCCATTGCCCAGGCCTTTTATACTGTTTTATTTCATTACACTGTTTGGCATTCAATATTTTTGCTCCTTTTTGTTTTACTGTATTATAGATTTTTGTGTTTGTTCTGTTTGTTTTAAAATTGCATTTGAACAATCAAACTTGTATGCCTATGTTCTGATATAAATTCTCAATTTCTGACATGCTTTTCTCACACAGGTATACGTGGTGAGATTAATGTGGTGGTGAAAGTAGACCTTTTCAATGACTTAAACCGTTTCAGGCAGTCATCGTGTGGGGTAAAGTTTTTTTGCAGTAAGTCTAAAAATATATTATGAATTGGTTTGAGTGAGGAAAATGGTTATTTGGATAAGTAAAGGCTTTTAAAGATACACTGTTTTACACGCTGGTGCTCTCTATTTGTTATGCTGGTTGGAAATGATTCAATACCAGTTTGGGGAAGGCTGCTTTCAACCTGTTTTGGTAACACCTGTTTCCAAACTGAAATCTTTTGAACATGGGGTCACGTTTGAAAACAATTTGGTAACTTCAGTTAGCAGAGGACAGGAATGATCACTGTGGGTTTTTTGGGCTCTTTGGCCGTGTTCTGAAGGTTGTTCTTCCTGACGTTTTGCCAGTCTCTGTGGCCGACTGGAGTAGGAACTCGAATACACAGGGATGATTGATCATCTAAGCTGGGGATGGGGTTCATTCCCAATTGTTAGGATGGTGGGTCTTCTCTCTCTGCTAAGAACACAAATGGTAATGTTGTGACTGGTATTGTGTGTTTAGTTTGTGGCTCACTAGTTCAGCTATATTAGTTTCTGATTTTTTTTCTGAGCCCAATGCAAAGTGCTGGTATTTGCATTCAAATCTCTAAATGTCTCGGAACCCTGACCCAAAGGACAAACTGTTTCTGTACCACACTACTGCCACTTTTGAGATTAGGTTTTGATGCTCTTCATCAGTGATTTGCTACCTGGGATGCCCAGAGGTATAAACCAGGATATTTAAGGGTATGTGAAAAAAATTGAATAATGACAGGAAATGGCGCATACGCCAACTGAGCAGTGAGAAATCCCTAGTCCCCCCCCCTCTCCCGTCCTACCCTGTGAGAGTCCAGTCAATTGGCTTTCTCTCTCAAGGTCTGTTCTTGTTCCACCACTAACCTGGGGGCTTGTGCCGCCTACTCCTTTCCTATCGATAGGAGTACACAAGTGAAAAGAGGTTGGTAACCATTGCTCTACATGCAGGACCTCTCCAGTTGTGAGCAAGGTGGATATTAGGAGGATTTTTAAAGACATATACCCCTGTTTACAGAATACCCTTCTTAGGGAGATTCATTTGGCACAGATATTGTTTAGGCACCAGCTGAAAAGCCTTTTCTACATCCATGCTTTTAATCTCTGTTTTAAGGATTATTTTTTTAAAAGCCTTATTGTGAACTTCTTTGCAATCAAGTTTTGATAAGAGGCGGTATATAACTTGTTTAAGTAAATAAACATGTTTTCCATTGTGGTTGCTTTTTTAATAGCTACATCAATTCCAAAGTGCTACAAAGCAGTAATTATTCATGGCTTTGTGGAAGAGCTGGTGGTTAATGAAGACCCGGAATATCAGTGGATTGATCGAATCCGTACACCGAGAGCATCAAATGAAGCTAGACAGAGGCTTATTTCATTAATGTCAGGTAGTTATAATACCAAATAAAGTGTCTTAAAGACAGATTTTGGTTTGGGGTGCAATAATAGAGGCGTTATATGTTTCTGCTGTGTTTTGATTACTATTTGCTTAAGTCAACTCAGCATTTTATAGATTGTACTATATTAAAACATTCTGAATATAATTCAAAATGGCAGGGTTACCATTTGTTTAGATGTAACAGAGGCAATGGAAGCTGTAAGGTCAATGGAATGCCATTTTCACAAGGCACTAAAGAACTTGCCAACAGAAAAACCATATAAATAGTAACTTCTAAGTGTTTCACCTGTTAACATATAACTTAATCTAACAATAATTTACAAACAGATGCAGCGATTGTAACTTGGTGATTTCTAATCTGTTCTGAAATAGTAGTTCATGTTGTAAAGCAGCCACGTATCATTGCCAGGTTGGAACTTCAAAGGTCACTTTGGAGTGACAAACTATTTTGAAGTATTTTTCAGAATAATACACTTTGCCAGTGAACGTATGAAGAACTGGTTTCAGCAATGAGGTTAATTTAATGTTCTTACACAGTTGGAAGCTAATTCAGACCACAGTTGTGGATTACTAAACACTAAGTTGCCAAAGTTAGTAGTTTTTAGCAAAAACAATGATTTGTTCACTTTGACAGTTATTGGAATTAGAAACTATGCTGTTTGCTTGCTTGTTTGATGCATTTTGGGGTTGCTGTTTCTTTCTTTCAGAGCACATGTTTCAGAGCACTCTTTTTTGCTCACCTATTCTTGATTTTTTCTTTTTTTAAAAAAAATGTTTATTATTATTATTTCCTTCTTGTAATCTTAGGTTTATTAAATAATTTGTTTTCTAATTATGAACCATTATGGACCATTATGGCCCTTCCTTTCGTGAATTTTCACAAGGACAAAGTGATACTCCATTCAAAGAGTGCCTTTCTGCCCAAAGTAGTATGCCAGTTCCACTTAAATCAGGATATTGCCCAATAACTATTCAAAGAACCACAGTTGTTGAGGCAGCTCGTCGTTTTTTAAAATCTACTATTATTGGCAATTGAGAACCTGAAGTAGGACCTGCAACTTAGCTCTTAGCAGATGAATGTGGAAGTCCCGCTGAAAGTTCATTCACAGTATTATTTGTTTGTTTAAAATATTTTACCCCACCTTCCTTCTTAAAAGGGACCAAGATGGATCACATCATTAAAAGACAATATTTAATGTTAAAACCAATAAGTATACAAATACTAAATAGGATCAAACAAATACTACTTTAAGAAGTGGTAAACGAAAGCAATATTAAAAACATATTCAAAGCAGTAAGGCACAACAGTCCATTTAAGAATACCAATCAAGCAGCCAGTGAAGATGTTCAGACTAGAGAAGGGCACTGAACTGTTCAGGTCCCTAGATCCAAATATCCACACGTCAGCACAACTGCTGCGCATCCACTCATCTCTCCCTTAGATTTTCTGATCTACTGATCTGGTGGCTGTGTGGCACCAAGCGTCCTCCTGCTCAGGTGGCGCACCAGTCTGGACAGAAGCTCAGTCGCCCTGGCCCACCTCCCCTGACTGCTGACCACTCCGATGAGGAGGCAGGATGGGTATTCTCCCCACACAGCTGATGAGTGTTTGGTACCTTTCTCTAGTACTGTATTTACTGAAAGAAAGGAGACATGGCCCTTGAAATAGCTTGAATCCAAACTATTTAGGGCTTTATATGTTAGAACCAGCATGTTGCCCAGAAATGAATGAGCAGCCAGTGGAGCTACTGTAACAGGGGGGCTATGTGATTCCTGTAGCCAGAGCCAGTCAGCAATCCGGCTGCCACATTCTGGACCCGCTGAAGTTTCCTGACAGTTTCCAGAGGCAGCCGCATATAGAATACATTACAGTAATCCAGCTGTGATGTAACTAAGGAATGTGTCATCATCGCCAGATGAGACCTCTTCAGGAGTGATGCATCTCTGGAAATTTGGCTCTACATATCTATGGACATAGAAAGTGAACATTGTTCAGAGAGACAGCAGCACTTGAATGAATAATGAAGAGCTTGGAAGTAACTCAGTGGCTAAAATCAAGTTGTGCAGCTCCACTCATGCAGTGGGGATCATGTTATCACCAGTAGCAAACGGCTGATGATTAAAAGCAAATCACATCTGATTCAAGGTGATTTCATGGTGCACACAACTTGTATGCAATGTGACAAAAGTGTGTGCACCCTGAATTAATCAAAGAAAGATTTTAATTAGCAGCAATTTGCCACTAATGATGACATCATTACCATCTTCCTATTTAAGCATTTTCTGGGTTCTGTTTCTCTAAAATAAGAAAATGAAGCAAATTGAATAATCAGTCTTATAAGTGTTATACTTGAAAATAGATTGAATCAATGTGTACCTTCCTTTTGCCTGGCTATAAAATATTCAGTATAGACAAAAAGTAAATGATGTGTTTACTGGCCTGCATTGTACTTATTTTGCAATTATGAATTTAGCTGTTGTATCCATAGTAGTTCTACAGGTCCTTGTAAAATATTCTATGAGCACTTGTAAAATGTTTTAATATATGTCTGTAAACTTGTAACAAATGGAAGGGTCATTAAGTCACACACTTTCTGAATGAGAGTAAAATTTAAAAGAAAAAAAGCAATGTTGCCTGCCTTGTGATAGTTCAACAAATTTGCTTCCCCTTATGTTTGTCCTAATTAGTCTTCCTGGTAAATTTTAGGCTAATCTCTGGCTAATTGGTCTATCCTTTTTTTTTTCAGGGGAATTGCAAAGGAAGATTGGTTTGAAGGTATTAGAAATGAGGGGGAATGCAGTTGTTGGCTACCTGCAGTGCTTTGATCTGGAGGGAGAATCTGGACTAGTAGTACGAGCCATAGGAACAGCCTGTACCTTGGATAAATTAAGTAACACACCAGCATTCTTACCCGCATGTAATTCCCCATCCAAAGAAATGAAGGAGTAAGTATAAGTCAGTGTGTACTGGAGAGATTTTTATGTGTGACTTTCCATATTTAGTGCATTTGTTTCATTTTTTAATAATTTGTTGGTCTAGTTTTGATTTCATTTGCACACAGACACACTCTTCCTTATTGTTGGTAATTTGTTTTGGACTGAGAAATCTTAGATTCAGAATGAACCCTTTGTTCCCTTTGACAGATGTTGCAGAAATAAATCTTGATGTGACAAATGCCTCTGTGGTAATACCATATGTAATTCCTGCAGTGTTGCACAACATGCTGATGATGGGATTTCCCCGTTTACATTGCAGCTTGAAGCTCTTCTATTGGAGCACTTGCTTCAGTAGAATGTTTGTCTTTCTGAGTTTGTTGGTTTGCAATATCACATTCTTTTATAGGATATCTGTTTGTAATACTGTTAACCTGAATGAATCTGCTGTGTTTTTACTTAACTGAGAAAAATATATTGTGCAAAAACCATTGCAGTATTTTGATTCTTTGCCTAAATCTACTTGCTGGTCCCAGCTTGAGTAGAGCCATTGAATCAATTGCAAAATGTTAAGGTAATACATATGTACGTTCTACTGATTTAATGGATTTTCACTAGTTGGGATCAGGGAAAAGAATTAGTCCACTATCTTGTCCTGTGCTTAGGCTAACAGTGTATGCTGTAAGTTAATGCTGTCAGGTTTTTGCAGCTGCCTGCTTCCTTCTCATTTAAAACAAGATTTGCAGTCCGTTGGTTCAAAATAGTAAGCTGTCAGCCAGCTCTGAGGTCAGCAGTAGTAAGTGGAATTAAAAATAGTGATATGGGATTCTGAAACCATCTCTTAAAGGAAAAGATTAATGACCTCTGCAAATGATCAAATTACCTTTTGCAGAACCCTGTAACCCTTTTAACAGCAGCCCTAAGAGATAAACATTCATTTTCAGGGCATGTGAAATATGAGATTATCTTGATTATGCCTGCTGATGTGTCCAATTACATCTATGTATTTCTTGTTTGAAAATCATTATTTCCTGATATCTGTGAAAATTCTCAGTCATCCAGGTGAGGTTTTCTGGATGTTGAGTCATGGCAACTGGACTTCTTTCTTATTAGGTTGAAACGTTTCTCTACTCATCCAAGTAGCTTCTTCAGTTTGAAGTAGCTACTTGGAGTTTGAAGTAGCTACTTGAATGAGTAGTGAAATGTTTCAATTTAGTAAGAGAGAAGTGGTGCCTCGATTTATGAACTTAATCTGTTCTGGAATGATGATCGTAACTCCAAATGGTTGTAAGCCAAAGCACCGTTTCCCATAGGAATGCATTGAAACCTCATTAATCCATTCCAACCAGAAAAAAAAATCACACACATCCCCCCCAAAAAAACCCACTGCAAGCCCCATTGGAACATGCTAGGGCTGGAAAAAAATCACAAAAAAACACGAACAAACAGTAAGCCCCATCGGAATGCGCTGGGGTCGGGGGGAAAACTCCCCAAAAAACAATGCAAGCCCCATCGGAATGTGTTGGGACTGAAAAAAAAATCACCACCTCCTCCCCCCAAAAAAGCAAGCCCCATCGGAACGCTCCAGGGCCAGAAAAAAAATCACCAAAAAAACAACACAGAAGGCAGTGGGGCTGAAAAAACACACCAAAAACAAAATCACAGTACAGAAACATAACCCCTCTCCCTAGCCGAAATCCTCCCGCAAAACCCTGTATATACTCACTCAGAAGCAGAAAGCAGCACCATGCAGTTGAAAGCCGCCTCCAACGCACACTCTCTAACTGTTGGGACGAAAGAGCTACAAAGAAGCAGCCTCTTCACCAACCAACAGTTAGTACTGTATATTTGAATTCCCCTGCCTTTTCCCCCACCTTTTTTCCAGTCGTTACTTGAAGCTCCAGTCGCAAGTCGAAGCAAGATTTTGCGGCCGGAGCTGGTTGTAACTTGGTCATAAATTGGGATGTTCGTAAGTCAAGGCACCACTGTATTTCCTTATATAATAATTAACTTTTATAAGAAAGCTTGTACATATTAGACCACTACTGCATAGACCAGTACTAATAGCATGTTATCTTTGTATGTTTTATATTTTTGTTGAATTTCAAGGTACACACACACAAAGAATCATTTTGAATGAATACTTGTCAAATTTCTTGGTAAAGCACTAGTTTGTGTTTGGTATTGGCTGTATTCAAATCTGTTACGACTTTGAATATGTTATGTAATCAGATTAAGTATCTCTGTTGACTCTGGCCATTTTCACTTACAGTATTTCTATTTTCAAGTAACCCTCAGCTTAATCTGACTATTTTTTCCTATAGTCATGCTTGCTACCAGTAGCCTTCCTGAAGCCCTCTGACATAATCAGAAGGTTTGGAGAGAAGTAGAGAGCTTGTGCACTGGGAAAGGGAGAAATTTCTTTTCTTCTTTTCATTCTTTTAAAAAAGCAGTCCAGCAGGATACATCCCCTCACCCCACCCGCACTATATCTTTCCTCCCCCAATTCCAAGTGCAATTGAGAATTTGGATAAAGATATCTAGAATGGTGTCCATATCTGTATCAAAATTCCATGTAGCATATTTACCCTTGCAGTTTACCGTATTTTTCCGTACACAACCCCTCAATGTATAAAATGACCCCCTAATTTTGACCTTAAATGGTGGTGGAGGAGCAGTTAATGGGCAACAGTTCCTCTACCTCCATCTCCTTCTGTCTCTGCTGCCCGCCGGATCACCTCCTCCAGTGCGACTGCTGTGGCTTATCTCCAGCTCACCTCGCTGCCGTCTGTTCTGAAACCTTTAATGGCATTTACAAATTACAACAACACAAGCAAAATAGGAGAAGTAAAATTACACAAATTTCACAAATTAGGAGCGAGAAGCAGGGGACAATTTCAGAATTGCAGATAAGAAACCTGCAACAGCCGCCTTGTCCCCTGCCCTAAGGAGGCGATCGCTGGAGGAGGTGATATGGCTGCGGCAGCAGGAAGATGCACCCGAGTGCTTCTTTGCCTCCACCTCTGCCGCCATCTCTGCCTCCTCCTCCTGCTGCTGCCTCAGCCACCGGAGGGGACAAGCTATGAGGCGGCGGCGGCAGCAAGAGGTACCTGAGTGTGCGTGCAACTGCCTCCTTCCATGTATAAAACGACCCCCAAATTTACCTCTATTTTAGGAAAAAATGTTGTTTTGTACATGGAACAATATGGTAACAAAATGGGGATGTTGCCACATTGTTCTTCCACATATAGTAATGTGTTCTTTATACTCTTACTGACGATAATTTCATCTTTTTAAAAATGAACTGTTTTTACTTTGCATGCTGTTGTTTTTGTGTTTAATAGAAAGAGAACCCAACCACTCAAACTAAATCACCTTAAATTCTAGTTTCCATGCTCCCAAGAACCTCATATTTCTTTCTTTCCAGTTAACCCATTACCACAGGTATACTTAATATTGTATAAGAACAAAAAAAGGGCTTGGTCCCTTTAAGAGTAATAAATTTATTTAAGGTTTATTTCATCTTTACTCTTTAGAGCAAGAGTGTAAAACTCGAATGAGCTGGATGGCAAATTTCCCAGAGGACTGAATTGTGGAAATTGGCCCTCTAGTTTTTTGTGGATTGCATTCCTTTTCTCCATATCAAAATTCACGTAAAAATGTGTTAGTCTTAAAGATGCCCTGATACTTTTCTCTTTTTAGCTGAAACAGTCTAATATGATTATTTCTCTGGAAACTTGTAACAAGGTACTGCTTGCCATCTTTTCTGAGATTACATATTCACTCTTTACCGCAGGAGTGTAAAACTGAAACGAGTTAGAAGAACACGTTCCCAGAGAGTAGATCCCTGGGAATCTGTAATCCCCCTGCCCCTTGCGAACATATTATTTACCTCCCAGTTTGCTTACATAAATTCTTCTTGTGGAAGTCACACACTCAACATTGCAAATGCTTTACTTTTTGAGGTATATTCCAGGCAGAAGATAAAATTCATTTGTGGTTTTCAGTGAGACGATTTCTGGCCTCATCTGTCTAATGTGAAGATAATTATCTTTCTCTAACTGAAATGAGAGGTACTTCCAAGTGGCAGTCTAGATCCATTTCAGCAGTAGCTTTTCTTGTGAGTAAGCATGGCAGTGTGACATTTGTGGCCCAGAACATTCATGGATTTTTGTGGACTATATAAGTGCTGTATGGTTTACTGGGGACACTTAAAGGCCTTACAGAACCCCTTCACCTTCTGTTTGACACCTTTGTGTTAGTGCTTGCTCTTAAAATGCATCCTCCAATAATTAGAGCACATTGCAATACCTTTTAAATGTAACTTTGCAATATTTTGTATGTATTTTTTTCTTTCCTTACACTCTGGCTACAAATTCTCCCAGGTCTCCGCTGGTTCATCCACCAAGTCACGGATGTCGTTCGACCCACAACAGTCCAATTCATACTGCTACTGGCTCACGGCTTACTCAGAACTTCTCTGTATCTGTTCCCACTCTCATCTACACTGGTACGAGACTGCTCAGACTCAGGAGCTGGGGAGAGACAGGACACAGGCACAGTGACTGCAAAGGACAGGCAGGCAGGCAGTGTAGGCAGGTACCACAAAAGTTCCTCACTAGGAGTGCAGCTTCTAAAAAGAAGCAGTGTTCATCTGCTAAAAGAAAGAAAATAGGAAACTGAATGATGCACATGTTTAGGGTCTATCTTTATACTTTTGCTTTGGTATGTGCAAACTTTTCCTTTTCCAGTGATAATACAAGATTTGCATCTGATTTTTCCCTTTTACAATGTTGTGGGGGGAGATACATTGGGGTTAAGCACAATGTTCTTGTGTTACGTGGAAGAAACCTTAAGCTCAACAAACAGGTAAGACGGTGAGAAATATGGCAGAGGTTGTTGACCGAATGGTCTTGATGTCGTTTTCTCCTTTGTTTTTAGCTGTGGCATGCTGCAGATGCTAACGGATAAGGAAACATTTTTTTTCTTGGAAGTGTGTGTGTGTGATATGTATATGTGTCTGTGTATATAAACACAGAGATATATAAACCGTAATCATCATTTTGTTTTCTTTTTGGTAATCTGGTTGAAAAAGCATATTACATTCCTGCCCCCTCTGGCCATGGTTCCAAAGGACTTTCGTTTGTTTGCCAGTTTTTCTTAGGTTTTGATGCTTTCTTTATGCCTTAGCTGTGGTATTTGTGTTGCTAACCAATGATTGCCATCTACCTGCAGAATGCTGAGTTGGTAAACAAAATAGTTTTTGGTGCCCTTTGGCCTCACAATCCAATTTCACACTACAGGACAACTGTTGGCCCTGCCCCATCCCTCTCCCCACATCCTGGTGTTGGGATCATGCTGCTGTCAGCCCGGTCCTTTGGCATAGGATCACTGAATATGTTTCCACCTTCTTCTGGCAGGATTCCTTTCAATGAAGATCCCAATCCCAATCCTCATTCATCAGGACCCTCCACCCCTCTGAAAAACCAAATATATTCCTTTTCACCTTCCAAGTCCTACAGTCGACAGTCCTCTTCTTCTGACACAGATTTGAGTTTGACACCCAAAACTGGTAAGGTGCTTCCACCCACATTATTTTGAGTTGTTTGTTTCCTTGTTTTGTTTAATTTGTGTTGTTTCTATTTTAGCTTTTCATTCTTCATCCCCTTTCTCTGTTTTTCTGGCATGTAAGCAGTCCCAGTGACCCCAGAAATAGGGTTTTTTCCTAGAGAGTAAAGTTTAAAACTACTTATCAGCATAAATCTGTGAATTGCTCACCGCACTGTAGTGCGTATTGACTGCTCCTGTAGGCTGACACCTCACAATATAATAAGAGGGTGACAAGGAATTGTCCTGTAATTTCCTCCACATCATATTGCAAATTATGGAGATAAAAAGTCACCATAATATGTTGGGAAATAGTTTAACATGTCTTTCTAACTAAAATTATTAACTATAACTAATCTAAAACGTTTATCTTACCTATCAATCTTTGTAACTAATTGTCTGTTTGTAAAGACTTAGAAATATGACTGATTGGCTTCTGCTGAGCTGCTTCTAAGCTATGCATAAGGAGCATTGTTACCTTTTAAAAGTTTCCCCCCCCCCATTACTGTTTTAGGTACTTTAAAAAATTGTTCCATTTTATGTTTTCTTTTGTTCTATACATAGAATTAATGCATGCCGTGTTGTCAACGTAGATTGAAGTGCCATTAGCCTTTCATTCTGCTGCTTTACTCTGCTTGCTGATTCAGTGGTTCTCACACTGTGGCACAGGCTTCCCTTGGGAGTTTATACAGTATCTGGAGATAAGGATGTGAAGTATCCAACAAAAATAATGTCCTAAAAGAGCTGATGCCTTTTTGACCTTTTGGCAAAGGCCTGTATGGACTGAGTTCCTCTGACAGAAAACACTTGCAGACCCGTGTGCCATCTTCTCAATAAGATTTAGAAAATTTAGAGGAACCTGGAAATCATCACAGACATATTACTGCAAGGATTTGCTGTGCAATGTTTAGAAGGGGCTTGGAGATATCCTCTTCGTCCCTTCTGATTGGCATGTAGAATTGTTATGCCAGTCCATTGTTTTTATTTTTGACTAAATATTCCAGCCTATGGATCTGTGAAGATAGTAGCAGATAGCGTACACATAACTGGTAAAGACGTCCTCTGCAAGCTTACCTTTGCAACAAAATGGTGGCCAGAGACAGTAAGCAGTTTGTTTGGGCCTGAGTTCAAAATGTCTGAGAAACACTGAGAAATTATATTGCTGTACCTAATGGATTTTCATGCAAAGTATGTTTTGTGTTTTATCCTTTAAAAAGTTTGCAAGTACATGTTTATCTTTTATTTACGGTTAATCTTTGAAAAGCTAGTGTATAGTGCTTTAGTATCTAACCCATGATCAACTAATATTTGTAACTTGTCCACCTCACTCCACTTTGTGTGTGTGTGTGTGTGTGTGTTTAATTACACCGTGTTTCCCCAAAAATAAGACAGGGTCTTATATTAATTTTTGCTCCAGAAATGCATTAGGGCTTATTTTCAGGGGATGTTTTATTTTTTTCATGTACAACAATCTATATTTATTCAAACATACTCATGTCATCTTCTTCTGGTTGCTGCACGATGTTGGAGGGCGGGGTTTCACTTCACTTAGGGCTTATTTTCAGGTTAGGTCTTATTTTCGGGGAAACGGTATTTTTAGATTACTTAGGTGCCCTAAGTAACATGTTAGGAAATACGTTTCAACTTGCCATTTTGTGTCATAGAACTGTTATTTCTTCAAAAGGCAAAATCTACATGTTGCAGTATAATTTTGAGGGACCGGCGCATGCTTGTGGTAAATGCTTGTTAATGATGGTTGGTACATACGATAGATATGCAAGGGGCATTTAAAGAGCTGCACCTCCAATTTTTCTAGTTGCTTCTATTCCATTGCTTTCATGTAAGCCAGCACGAAGTCTTTTGTTACCTAAGGACAAGTTCCTTTTCTTGGACTACACTTCCCAGAATCCCCCATCCAGAGCAACTAGGACACTAATTAATAACTTTGGAAGTCAGCAAGATATGAAGCCCAGATTTCAAGTTACCCTCATATATAGACTTTTTAAATTAACTATAAGTTTCCTAGTTCAGTGGTGGCACTGTGGGCTAAACCGCAAAAGCCTGTGTTGCAGGGTCAGAAGACCAGCAGTCGTAAGATCGAATCCACGCAACGGAGTGAGCTCCCGTCGCTTGTCCCAGCTCCCGCCAACCTAGCGGTTCGAAAGCATGCAAATGCAAGTAGATCAACAGGGACGACCTCGGTGGGAAGGCAACAGCGTTCCGTGTCTCAGTCGCACTGGCCATGTGACCACGGAAGATTGTCTTCAGACAAAACGCTGACTCTGTGGCTTGGAAACGGGGATGAGGACTGCCCCCTAGAGTCGAACACGACTGGACAAAAATTGTCAAGGGGAACCTTTACCTTTACCTTCCTAGTTCTGCTGAAAATTTGAAGGCTATACTTAATTAACAGCTATGAAGTAACAAGAAAAGTGGCAGGTTGATAGAAATGGGGAGAGAGGGCAAGATTGTTTCATATTTCAGGTTATCAAGCAGAGGTATAATTACTTTAATGCAGCCAGTACCATATATATGAAATGTGAATGACAACTGTTCTATATGTTATTTCTCTCTCTCTCTCTCTCTCTCTCTCTCTCTCTCTCTCTCTGTGTGTGTGTGTGTGTGTGTGTGTGTGTGTGTGTGTGTGTGTGTGTGTGCGCGCGCGCGCGCGTTCCCTTCTCTCTCTCTTTTCCACTCTCTCTCTCAAACAAAACGGCTGTAATCTTGTACGTGCTTATAATGTTTAGTTTCACTCATCTTAATGACATTTAATCATATTAATGGCATAATTTAGCAGACAGTTGGTTTTCTGACACGGTAGTAGAAGTACAATGCACTTCCACTCACACCAGGAGGGAGTGTCCACTTTTTTTTGCTTATTTTTGCCCTCCATATGCAGCTCACTTGTCTGTACTGCTTTCCATCTTACACAGTCTTGTGACCCTTTTCATAGGATGCAGCTAGATGAAAACATAGGAAATACACTTTTAAGAAACACATTTCTGCTTGTAGTTTGTCTAAAACTAACTCTGTGAACCCAAGGGAGCTTTAAACATGTTTCCTTGAACAGCATGTTCTCTCCTACAGTGTAACAAATCCAAGGAAAGCTTGAAAAGGATTTTTCAATTGCTGTTCCATGATTGACGGTAATTAAAAAAAAATATACACAAGCTTTATCAGTTCTGGAGACCCTAGTTCACATTTCTGCAAAAACACACAACAACATAGCAGTAGAGAGGATGACTCATTGTGTCTCTAAATCTGTCTGTGGTGACCATGTGTTTAAGAAAATGCAAAGGTCTGCTATCAGCAAAATGTTTACAGAAGCTTAGCATTAGAGGCTTAGCATTAGATGCTGTGTATGTGATCTTTGAAGCTATCTGCTGATGAAAACTTAAGAATCTTAAGTTCTGAATTATGCTATTTTTGCAAAATAACAGAATACAGTATTTTAATAAAGATGTTGTTGGCTGTTTCTTCTTCTTCTTTAACTAACACTTTGGTAATTGCCCTGATATATATGTGGAGGAAATTAAAAATGTGGGAAATCCTTTTTTTAAAAGAAGTGAAGAGAAAAGTTTAATATCAACCTTAATCTGTTATTTTAAACATTAAAGAGACACCTAAAATTAGCTGTTCCCTAGTTAATATACAGAAAAATCTCAGAAAAGGGAACTTACGTTTCTTAGACTCATGGAAAATAGCTGTCAGTCATCTGTAAGCACAGTTTAAACAATAATTAGAATTTGAGATAAAATGTAAAGAATATTTCATTACCTGAAAATAAAGATAAATAATATATTAAAATATTGTTTTAAATGTGCTCATTCTCACTGTACTGCACTATTGATCATCTCATTTACTGTATGTCAATGAATACGTCATTCATCTGCTGTTAGATTGTTCATTTTTATGTAATTTAGTTTTGCTTGTTTTGTTCTGCTTTATTCCTTCCTAGTTATTAATTTTTTTAGTCACTTTCTGAACTTTTATCATCTCTTTTGTACTGCTTTCCTCCACAGCACTTTCCCCACAGGGACATAGGAATTTCCTGTTTCCCACTTCCCCAACAATATCTTGTGGTTCCCCACAGCTTAAACAGCCCTGTCTCCTTTTCTCTGGGTTTAACCCTAACCCTCTTCACTCTAGCCATGTCAACCCAGTTCTGAGGAAAAGTGTTTCTTTCACTGAAGAGTTGCTTCTTGCTGCTTCTGGTAGGATCAATCGTACATTGCCTTGCTGGGTTTTTTTTAGTAGTCTGTGCTATTTTGCAGTGACACTAAGCACTGTGTTAAAGCTTGTCATAATTTCTCTGCACCCTACTTTTAAACTCCCAAAACTGTTGGCTACATGACTGTTCAAAATTGTATTCCCTTATTGGATTGGTATTAAAAAAATTTTAAAGTTTGGTAATGATTTGCAAAGTTGGGTAACTATTTTTATAGTACAGATTTTTCTTCTTTTCCACTAAATAACCTTGTGAAGCATTTGTAATTGGCCTGTTTTTTCATCATTAGATAGTGATGTAATCATTCATTTCCTGCTATTTATAAAAGGTTCCCTTTTTTCGGTTGGAACAAACACTCCTCCTTCCTTTTCCAGTCATTTATATTACTGTACTGTGTTGACCATCATGTGGCCATCAGCCATATTTGTTTTCTATATTATATCTGCAGTTTTACATATATTTTGAATGTCTACAATACGAACATCTGATTTGACTGTTCGTTTAGTAGGTTGCTTTGCTAAATGCAAACTTTGTTGGTGTTTGATGTCTATAGATAGTGCTTTGCTTGTTCTGATTTTGGGAGAATTAGTGTTTCATTTGCACAGACAGTCATCATTCCATTTCTGTCTCTGTTCTTAGTATTGTATAGTCCCTTGTAAGAGAGATTTGATTCCTACAAGTGAAATCAGTAGATTTAATATACTGTAGTTTGGGACTATATAGATGCTATTATTTGTTTCCTTATCCTAAAACAGCTAAAAATATTTCCTAAAGTCAGTTTTCTTTTGGTCTTCATACTAGGATTTAGCATGAGTGAGTCATGCAGACCATGGCTTTTGTGCAAATCCCTTCCAAATCTGCATCCATTTGTATAGTTTCCATTCATAAACTTGCAAGTGTTTACAGAATTTCAGTCACAATTTCAGATACTTATACAGAAGTAAATTATGTGGGGATGGGCAATCTTAGAAGTGCCTTTAAATTAGATGACTTTTTTTTAAAAAAATTTACTGTTTCATCCATACCAGAATTGCAGGAGAATGGTTTGGCACATTTGTGCCTTTGGTTTTCTTGTTATAAGCACCTTTGTGCTTCTGTGCAAATGCCATTTAGTCCACTGAGGCTTGCCTAGAAGCAATTCCTGTGGGTAGCATCTTGTGAAAAAGAACATACATACTTTTTCGGGAGTCATTGGGAGAGAAGACTGAGTTGGAGTGAGGAAGACTAGGCAGTATTAAAACTGGAGCAACAAATTATCTATACTATAAGAATTTGCTTGTTACAATAAGACAAGAATTCTAGATTATTACCGTATTTTTCACACCATAAGAGACACATTTTTTCCAAAAAAAACATTGGGGAAAAAGTGTATGCGTCTTATGGAGCGAAATTCCCAGATTATTTTTTCCTGTTTTCTTTGCCTAAAAATTTGGTACGTCTTATGGAGAGGTGCGTCTTATGGCGCGAAAAATACGGTAAATGACAATGTAAGGAAGCAGCATGCTTTTTCAGACAAGTAAGTCTGAGATAGTTTAGCTTGACCTCTGATTTAAGGATTTTGGTTTGTTGCACCCAAATTACACAGGAGGAGTAAACCAACAAAAGATCCTGGTATAAAGTAATGTATAATCCTGTTTTGTTTGTGGCAGAACTTGAAAATAGAAAATTACAAATAATTGTCTGTAATGGGTTAGGTTTCGAGTCATACAGTAATTGTGTCACTTTAGGAAAAGATGACCAATGACTTATTCTTTACTTTCTGGGAAGTGACAAAAGTGGATGGGGTTGTTTATTGACTTTTGTAGTTGCTATGACTTAAACTGTTGTTGACGAAAGAGGTAATCTATTTGCTTATCTGTCCTTGGTTTAGTCTTCAATGTGGATGAACATTGGAGATGGAGACTGATTAGCCAATAAGCACAGAGAGAGTAAAAGCAAAGTATATGTGGCCCCAAGAGGATAAATCTAAGAGAGTGAGTTGGTAGAGAGAAGGATTGAGAGTAACAAGTGGTAATAGTATGGCCCCTTCCCCCCACCCTCCGGATGGTATGAAGGAGAAGGAGGGTGAACAGAACAGAATGAAGGACAGTGAGGACAACACATTTGGTGGCCTTGGAAGGAGTAGAAGAACCTGAAAGAAGGAAGGGAAGGGGGAAGTATTTTGGAGGCGGGGATGTTCAGAAATGTGAGGAAGGATGGCTGAGGGTAAGGTGCAGAGGCAACCGCACACTTGGAGTGAAAATAAAAATACTGTAATAGAAGATGAAGAGCAGTGGCCCCAAAAGGAGAGTATTAGGATGTGATTACACATGGAGGGGAATGTAAATTTGCTCACATTCATTTGCTTTGAAGTCCCACTGGGTAATTCAGGTCTCGTCGATTTAGGTGGCCACATTACATCAAACTGCTTGCTACCACCCAGTTCTACTTATGGCCCTGCAGGGGACACTGTTCAAAGAAGTGCATTAGGAAGTTTTGATAGCTCCTTCCTTTCAATTTCCTAAACATGCTAGCTTGACAACTTAAAAATATATTCTCCTCTTTCTTTGAAAATTAAAAGAAAATAGGAGTGTTGCCCTGGAGGAAAAGCTCTAAAATTAATAATAATTAAGACTCTTGAGAAAGGGAGAGTGTGTTCTGTTATTGCCTTGTGTGTGTATGCACACTCAATGATCTCTTATGAAGTAAGAGGCATGAGGCGAGGGGGAATGGACTTTATGCTTGTCCTCCCTTCCTGAATTGGTTCAAGTGACCACATGCCTGAACCAATGCAAAAGCATTTATATTTTTAAAAGTAGAAGCTCTGTGCTGATTTGCATGTTTCATCATGTGATCAATGGGGAAAAATGTAAACCAGCCTGTCCCAAGCCTGTAGTATTTCCTGCATTTTTTGCTAGTGTGGTCACCGCCTCAGAGAGGGCATCATGGCAGTGGGAAATCTAGAGGAGAAAGAGTGGCAGAAATAACAATTAAGGCTCAATAAAAGTAGCATGACAGTAGTTGAGAACTCACGTGGTCACATGTAGGAAGTAAAGAGAGGGAGAGAGCTGCCTTGGGTCATTTTTAAGGAGAAAGGCAGGATAGAAATAGTTTAAATAAATAAATAAGAGAGAGGCGGGTGATTGGGGGATGCAGAGGAGTGAAAGGATGGCACAGAATGACATGTGGCAATGGCACACATCTTGACTTTGGGAAGAGAGGGTTCAAGAGAGAGGCATGGTGTTGTATGTAAGGGATAAAAGAGAAAGAGAATAAGGATAGCAGAAGAATAAAAAAATCAAAAATAGGAAAAAGAAAATGGCGCTAGAATAGCACCTGTTATTTCATGTAATATGGGACATATTATTAGTAATAAAATGTATTAATAATGTATAATGCAGTGAGCTGCATTTGCATACTAATAGTAATTACATGTCAATCCAATTCCAATTTACAGCAGTGTTGTCCAAGGTTTTCTAGGTATAGAGATTTCAGAAGAGATTTTATCATTCCCTCTTTCTGCATGCACTCTGAGACTGCGTAGCTTGCCCAAGGCTACACAGGCTCGATAGTCTCTTTGGAGGCAAAGTGGGGAATCAATCTTTCAGCATTACCTAGGTGGCTGAGCTGTCCTGCCCAACTGTATTTGCATACCCAATAACAATAATGACGGTGCCCTTCTACGATTTCCCAGAACAAATAAGAGTAGAAGTTTCTTTTGAAATGTAATTTTCCAAGTTGTGCCTTGGGTGCAATAAACCATAATTAACTGTTGTATGCATTGTAACATGGACCATTTACTGGATGGTAGTGGCTCTCCAGAGTTTAAAACTCCCAGGTCTCCCTGGAGATGTCAGGAGCTGGGATCTTTCACATTCAAAATATATTCTCTGCTGCTACTCTACAACTCTTTCAGATTAGTTTAAATGGCATTACTAGTTTGGAATGTTCTCAAATTCTTTTATACTTTAAATCCTGAAAATATACTGTATTTCTTAAATTTTATAATTTTCCAATATGCAGTTATAGATTTCTCTTTCTAACGTCTCTGTGAGCTAATTTAATTAGCTTATAGTAAAAATTTATGGAACACCTATAAATATAATTCATAGTCTACAAGTTTAAGGCTTCTATTGTACTGCAGAAATTTTTGAGTGATATGAAGTTTTATTAACTTTTGAAAATGAAAGTAAAGAATTAAGCTTAATAATGTCAGGAGAAAAAAGTCCATATTGGACTTGGTAGCTTAATTTTTAACCAACATTACATTAAAGTTCACATCTAGTATAACTTATATGACCTACTATTCATGTGCATGCCAAATGAATTTTTTTACCATAATTGATGGCCAGCTTGGGCACATTATTGCCAGAAACCTGTTGGGTGAGGTTTCAGTATTAATCCATGACAGAAAGATTAAATCATAAATATTTCAGCACCACTGCTTTATTCCTATATGGACTATATCCTTTTATGTACTGTACATGTTGACACAGCTTATAAGAGGTTTTTTACAGTGTTGGATAAATAAATACAAAAACACAGGATGCCTCCTAAAAAAGGGTAGAACATATATTTCCTAGCAAATGGTCTTTTTAAAACGAAAAGTAAATTACTGAGTGTTGCTTTTCATAATTTCAACATTTGACAGTGTAAAATATACAGCATGTATAATCCATCTGTTTATTGTTTTGATTCCACTCTTAATTATACTGTATGCTGCTGTCCTTTAGGAATGGGCAGTGGGAGTGCTGGAAAAGAAGGGGGACCATTAAAAGCTCTGTTAAGACAACAAACTCAGTCAGCTCTGGAACAAAGGGTAAGAAAAGCATATAATCCTATTCCAAGTACTGTACTGTCTCTTAATAGTGCACTAATATATATCTGTCTATTCAGAATTTGGATTCAGTTGAGTTCAGTAGGATTTACAGTAGGGTAATTTGGTATGGGATTGCAACCTAAACTATATCAGGGAAACTCAAAGGAAAGAAAATATTTAAAAATAATAATAAAAAAACAAAAACCTGTGGCACCTTAAAGAGTAGTTACTATATTTTAATGTGATCTTTTGTGAACAAGTCTACTTCTTCAAACATTTTTCAAGTATTATTACTATTTTTCCTTTGGGTTTTCCTGATATGCCTGCACAAACTAAATGGTTGCCTCTTAGTGTACAGCCTAAACTAAATTTCAGTTTCTAAATTTCTCTTTTCAGTTGCTTAATGTTTTCTTTTGCATCAACAACTGTTATGTCCTTAGTTTAATCCTAAGCTATTACGGGTGTAATGCTTATTCATGTAGGTAAGTTAAATGCATATCTAGATCAAAGACATATGTAAAATATAGAGGTCCCCAACAGAAACGTGCACAGTATACACATTTGGCCTTTGTCTTTCCTTCCCTTTCTCATCCTATGTGTATTTGTTCTCTCTGACATTTTGATAAGCATTGTTTCGTATTCCTTTTTGCTTAACTATGTTCTACTGAGTTATAAAAATAACTAAGGAGAATTTTAAAAGCTGACTGTTCAACTAAATGAGTTGGGGGTCTGTATCAAAACAAAGACAATTACCCTCACCTCACTTAGTTGGATAGAGATTTTATTATTTATTGGATCTCAAACTAAGGAGGGGAATGCTTGTGAATTTTATATTTTTTCACTAATAGACATTTTTAAACTGGATTTTAGCGGGCTGTGCCAAAGTTTTCATGTTTGGATCTGTATGTACACAGTCTTATTAACATGTGGATTAATTCTAAAATGAATAGCAACGTTAAAAATTGTACAAGTGGATGATTCTCTTTTCATTTCTTGTGTTATCCATTGCTAAGGGAGGATCGCCTCATAGGTTCTGTAGAAGGCGGGTATGTTCCAAATTATTGTGTGACATTTACTTAAAGCCCTCTCTTTTTGTGTTTATTTTATTTTTTGAACCTTTTCTAGCTTGGAGTTTTTATTTTAGGAATTTGGGGTTGTTTTGGCAACATACTTTCTCCCAGATTCCTTTTAGAATCCTTCATATGCAAAATTAAAAATATTTTTCCTATGACCATTTAGCAAATCCAAATCCTCCTGCTTAACCAATAGGCTGCATGACTGTACATCTCATTTTTCATTTCATTTTAAGCAGTATTTCATGGCTTTTATTATGCAATGTTTAATATGAAAACATGGACTAACGCAGAGGGAAGTAGTTCTGCTGTGCCTTTGCCCGAGTGATTCAGATGTTTTGTGGGCATTGATGTTTTATTTCAGTTCATATTCCTTATACTCATTTTTTAAAGTTTTCCCACTATAAGGTTTTAATTATGCAGTATGTTGTTTACAGTTCATCAGTATTTACTGTAATGTGATAAACTACTGTACTTGGCAAAATCATGTTCGCACAGGCATTACTTTATGTAACTGTGCCAAATGTTGTGCCCAGCAACAGGGAATTAGGCAGTTCAGTTGCACAATCAGTCGCACAATTCCAACTGCCACTGTTGTGCAATGTGTTGGTGGAAGTGCTTTGTAGATAGCACTTCCACCATGACACTTTTGCAGCTACTGTGAGCATAAGGTTGAATTACACTGATATAACTACACAAGAGGATTTTGCCCATTGAAATACTAGCCTTAAATATTTTGCTTTTATACTATATTATTACACTTAACAATAATTATATAAAATATGTGTGCTGGCATGTTTGGGTTTATGTCATATTTGAAATATAGTTTAACTTTACATCTGCTTCCAGTTCTCTCATCAAATTGAACTATTTGTTCTGTGAAATGCAACACACCAAGCACTACTGTGTTGCCTCCACTGATTTCTGTGGGTTATACAACAAAACAGGTTTTTATTTGGTTGAATTTGGTGTTTTGCACCTGTAGAATATATTAGTTGTGGAAGCTCATAATATGAGCACAATTAATATCGCAAGGACCAGTGTTTTAAAAAATAATCTCTAGGGCCTCATTCTACTTTGCCTGCTTGGCATGTATCAAAGCCACATACAAAAACGGCTGATGATACAGAGAACTGTTACTTTGAACAAGGTTAAAAATTCATGTGGTCCAAAACTGCCCTCTAAAATGGCTCCCAAAAAATTCTTGAGCAGGCAAAAAATGCTCTATTGCTTAAATAATTGACTGGCATGCTGTGTTGTGGTTATGCAACTTCCTTCATTTTAAAAAAAATTATAATTTGTTGATGTGGTAGGACAAGGATCTGGAGAAAATTGGTAGAGCTGAGATATTAAAGAACAATCATGAGGTAATGTGTTGAGGATGTCTCCTGTGTAAATGCTTTTTGCAATTTTTCCCCTTCCTTTTCAAATTGGAATCATGGAAAATAAGTGTGTTGGTGCCAATTAACTGTGAAAGATCTACATTTGGAAGCCATAAAACAATGAGTACTAATTCAAATAAAGCTAACATTTACAGTTGCAGAGCACAAGACTATGTAGTTTATTCATCCATTTAATGCATAATGCCATAAAGAAGTTCCAGGCTCATGCAGTTCTCTCTCTGTCCTGACGTAGCTTGTGTTTGAAATAAACTGTAATATAATATTATATCTGAATCCTAACCTGATGTTAATGTGAAGTACAGTACTAAAAATAAACAAGCTTCTTAAACTATGATACCATTTTAATAAAATGATACTTTCGATCGGGACTGGGCAATTGTGGCCTTCCTGATGTTGTGGGCTGAAGATTCCATATTCCCACACAATTGGCTAAACCTGATGGAAGTTTTAAATCAAAAACATATGGAGAGTGACTGTTACCCTAATTTAAGATAGCCACAGTTTTTCCAAATTCTGATGTTACAGTAAACAAAACTTAAATTTCTAAATTCTTCTTTATGGATCAACATGGATAGAAAGAGCATGAAAAGTCTGATACTTTGTTACTAACACTAAACACAGGTGTAAATGTGCAAACCACATAGGGCCCTCCAAGGACCTCACTGGGGCCCCCTAGACACCTCAAAGCTCCCCATGCTGATTTTTTTCCCTGGCTTTGAATGTCCAGTTGTAACCCAGAAGCTTCTACAAGGAAGGTTTTCCCATTCTCCTCACCAAGGCCTGAAATCACTTCCCCCCCCCCAAAAAAAAAACCCTGTGACCTTTGGGGTTAAATGGATAAATCACTTCCCCCCCCCCAAAAAAAAACCTGTGACCTTTGGGGTATTGCTCCTGGAGAATCAGTAGCTGGCCACTTCTGTTCTAAATCATGGTTTAAAGCTTAGGGGCAGGGAATCTGCAAAGAGATTAGATTCACTTCATTGCTGGTATGTGGCTTCTGACAAGACTATTAAGACACAATTTACTTGCACATATGCTTACACAGAAACACCATCCCATTCACGGTAGCCAGCCTTTGGTATCAAGGAGGACTCTCAGTAAGCTTCATTGCAGTAAAGAGAGACTGATTTTTAACAGAGCAGGTCACAAGATTTGGAGCAGAATATAGGGTGGAAAGGAAGAGCGGAAATCCTTTGTCCGTGATTCCAGATTAGATTTAAAAGTAGCAGGACAGTTGGTGAAAGAGATGAATACTTGTGTTGCTCATCTAGTAAAAAACTAATGAAATGCAAAAATCAGATGGCTCTTGGAAATTTTAACTGATGTTGTCTTAGATATTACAAGAGTATCTCATTTTAAAGTTACCTAATTGTAACTTTATATTTAGCTTCAATATAACACACAAAAGCGTAAGTGTCTGCAACATAAATATTCTCAAATGCTGAGAACTACACCTCTTTTGAGGTATTTAGATATTTCTTTATTTACCCCCCAGAATACAGTGGTGCCTTGATTTACGACCATAATCCGTTCCAGAAGATGGACATAACTCAAAATGGTCGTAGGTCAAAGCACCATTTCCCATAGGAATGCATTGAAATGCAGTTAATCTGTTCCGGCTGAAGAAAAAAATCACCCCCAAAAAATCACTGCAAGGCTCATTGGAAACACGATTAATCCCTTCCAGCCCGGGGGGGGGGAACAATCGAGCATGCAAGATCCATTGGTAATGCACAGAAAATAAATGGAGCAGATCGGAAATGCACAGAAAACAAAGGGGGCAGGTCAGAAATGCAACGAAAACAAAGGAAAAAAGGAAAGCATGCAGGACCCATCAGAAATGGGGAAAAAACCCCAAAAGCAATCATACCCCCAAGACCTGTCGGAAATGGGGGGAAAAACCCCAAAGCAGTCAGGCCCTCCCAAGACCCATCAGAAATAGGGGAAAATGCTCCAAAAAGCAAACAACCCCCCCAAGACCCATGGGAAATGGGGGGGAACCAAAAAACAAACAACCCCCCCAAGACCCATCACAGCACAAAAACATAACCCCCCAGCTCAAAATCTCAGTGCAAAAACACCCAGAACAGCTTTTTAAAAGCAGAAAACAGCACCTTTTTTACACACACACACAGACAGAGAGAGAGAGAGAGAGAAAGAGAGAGAAGCGAGGCAGTCCCAAGCCGCCTAACTCTAACGGCTGGGGTGAAAGAGCTACAAAGAAGCAGCCTCGTCGCCACCAATAGTTAGCAATCTGAATTTCCCATCTTTTCCCCCTGCCTTTTTCTGTTATTAAGTGGAAGCTCCGGTCGCAAGTAGAAGGAAAATTTTGCGGCCAGAGCTGGTCGTAACTCAAAATGGTCGTAAGTAGGGACGTTCATAAGTCGAGACACCACTGTACTTGACTTGCTAGCGCCTTTTCCCCACCCTCTTGATGGTATAATCTGAGAAAGAACTTTGATGTTAGCAGAGTCAAGATATTATCCAGGATAAGCATATGATACCCTATTAGGGGCTTGTTATGAAAGATTTTTTTATTTGCTTCTTTCCTGCACCTGCCAGTCATAGGGGCGTTTTGGAATAAACCATTGTTGCATGCCTTCCATTGATGTTTTTTTTTAAATTTATGTATTGATGCTGTACAAATGGCAGATGGAATCCCATCTCCTTCCCCCCCCATAAATATGCTGTACATTATGCAGAAATGTGCGGTATTATATGAATAAAACCCAGCCCATTTTGGGTCCAAATAAAGTAGTCTTGTCAATGGTCAAACTTTTTGAAACATCTTAAATTTGCAGTTGTTCTTGTACATGTCAGGGGTTGTGAGTTCAGTTACCCACTCTGCCTTTTTGACAGGGGCCTTAGGGTCCCATCCATCCTTTCAGTTTTAAGATTATTATTATTCTAAGACTATTACATTTGGGTTCTTTCTGGATCTTTTCTGGATCTGTTGGGGACCTGTAGTCAAACAGAACCTCTGCTCCCAGAGCATTGTGTGTGTATTGACATTGTAAGCTCATTCCATTTTCCATGTATGTTTCTGCATGTTGTCCCACAGTTTCTGGGGTGCTGCCACTCCTCTTTTTGTGCATACTGTTCAGATTTTTGTCTAGCATTTCTTTCCTGTTGCCTGTCTTCTTCTTGCCTCCTTATGGCTCCAGGTTTATCTATTCCTCTTGCCCTCTGTGTGGGAAGAAGATGTGTATGAAACAAATATTAAGGTTGTAACAGGAAGGGAAATTGTAGACAGAAGTTTTGTAGTAGACTTATGGAAATAGTACAGTGGTACCTCGACTTACAAACTTAATCCATATTAAGTTTGTACGTTGAAAAGTTCGTAAGTTTAGGCAAACTTTTCCATAGGAATGCATTGAAAACCATTTAATCCGTAACTGCTGTTTTGCATTCGTATATTGAGGCGCTGTTCATAGGTAGAGGCATTAGTTCCCATAGGAACTAATGCAAAGCCGGTTAATCTGTACTTTACCACTAGAGGGAGAATTTTTCTTCTTCTTTTGACCTAAGGTGAACTTAGGTCAAAAAAAGGGCAGGAAAAGTTTTTTTTCTTTTTTCTTTGGTTGTAAGTCGAGGATCGGTTTGCAGGACGAAACAACTTTTTGTGAATGGAGCCGTTCATAACTCTAATCATTCACAAGTAGGGACGTTCGTAAGTTGAGGTACCACTGTATTTGTATTATTGTCCAGCCCCATTTGGGCGTATCAGGTTATGTCAGGAATCAAGAATGGAAGCAAAATTATTTTGTCCTGCCCAGGACTGCAAAAATTGTGCTTGTATGAGTTGATGTTTTGGTCTGTGCTTTCCAGAACTATATCAGTACAGTAGTTGAGAACATGTCAGGGAATAGGTTCTAACAATATAGGCCTAAACTAAACAAGGCATGTTAGCGATTCAGTATCGCAACTTGCCAAACAGTGCCATCAGTCATAAGCGTAGTACTGCCAGTACTTTGGCACTGCAGGAAGTTGCACTAGAAGTGCAGGTTGAAAATCCACCGTGATATGGAATTATGCCCTCAGTTAATTTAAGGAAAACGTTACGAATGATTTCATTAGGTCCCAAAGCAAGTGGTTTTACATATTTTCCTGGACAGAATGACAAAGTAACTTAACCTGGGTTAAAAATCTGATAGCTACCAAACATAGTTTCTGGTAATGGATTGAATAATTTGGAGTGTAAATACCCTGTTTTCCCAAAAATAAGACCTAACCTGAAAATAAGCTCTAGTATGATTTTTCAGGATGCTAGTAATATAAGCCCTACCCTAAAAATAACCCCCAGTTAAGTGAAACCCCGCCCTCCGCCATTGTGCAGCAACCAGAAGGTGATGACATAACTGTATTCAAATAAATGTAGATTGTTTTCCATGAAAGGTATAAAACATCCCCTGAAAATAAGCCCTAATGCTTTTTTGGAGCAAAAATTAGTATAAGAACCTATCTTATTTTGGGGGAAACACAGTACCATATATCAGGAATAGGAAATGTGTGGCTCTCTTAGTGATATTGGACTGCACTTTCCATGATTCCTTACTGTAAGTTTTGCTGGCTGTTGCTGATGGGAATCACGGTCAAACAGCTTTGGGGTTGTACTTGTTCCCTACCCCTGACCTACATGTTAAACTGCTGCAAGAAAGAATATAGGATTTGAGCACCCCAGTTCTGTGAATCCTTGGAACTAAGTACTATTGGTTCCAGTGGAACTTTTTGCAGAAAGAGTTGGAACGAGAATATGATAGTAAGGGACATTGCCTTGATTTCCCTGAAGAAAAATAGGGTATAGGTGTAATAAATAAAAATTCAAATTAAAACAGATGTGGTTAAGTTCTAAGCCTCCTGATAATAATGTATCTCTAAAATACTCTCCTTTTGTAGATAATACACTCACTATAATTTTTGTTGAGTCCAGCAATAGGTGTTCATTTATCCATTATGGACTTTAGGATTCTGGTGTTGTAATATACACTTGACATCCCTGTCCAGCTGCAGCATTATGAGGGGGGAAGTAGTATCTTAACTGCTTTTGAGATGTTTGCTAACCCCACAGTGTTTTGGGTCTGTGGATGGCATACATTTTGCTTGTTCAGTGCATAATGTAAACCTCAAGGAAGCATTTTGCCTACTATTGTGCTTTGCTTGTGTTTCAAGAGATATTTGCATGTTGATTCGTGAGCTGCAGGTGAATCCCCAAAGAACAACTTTAATTTACTTTTTTCTGTTTTAATTGAAACAGGAATTTCCTTTTTTCACTTTGACGGCCTTTCCTCCAGGCTTCCTTCTCCATGTAGGCGGTGTTGTCAGTGCCCGCTCTGTGAAACTTTTGGATCGCATCCACAACCCTGGTATGTTACAAAATAAATTTTAGTACTCTCTTATGATCTTGGCTCTCAAATTTATATTTATTAATAATTTTACATAAGAGCTTGCAAAACATTTAGGGGTTAAGTAAATGCAATGTTTAGCAAATTCTCTCTTTTGTCACAGTAGCTTGTTCGCAACATTTTCAGTGCCACTGAGGTATTTAATCAAAGTGGTAATACACCAGAATCTTTGAGGAAGAAAACATGCACAAATGTAGGTTTTAAATTTTTGCTTTAAATATTCTGAAATCGTAAATCTCACTATGTTCTCAAAGCAAAGTATTCAGGACATTTATAACGTTTTCTTTCTTACATATTGTAGATCTCTTATAGCTGCCTGTTGAGGATTCTTCCATGTCCTAAACTGGCCTGCATTCTAATTGTTTTTCTTTCATTTTAATTTTGAATTAAGCAAAGTACTCTTAATATTTGTCTAAGCTACTATCTGAACATGAACAGAGGACCAATTTGGAGGAAGTGGGAAATTCTTTTCAAAGTGGGTAGTTTCCACCTGATACCTTTCCCCTGCATCTGGCATTTTGATGTAACTTTCTTTTAAGCCTGGAGATTATACATCCCCATAATGGCTTGTAACCTGTGATGGACTTTTCCTCCAGAAATCTATCCATTCCCTTTTAAAGGCATCTAGGCTAGATGCCATCACCACATCCGGTGGCAAGGAGTTCCACTAGGCATAAAGGTTGCAGCCTTTATGCTTAATGTTGCAGTTGGAGAAGCTACTGTTCTTTCAGCTTCCTACCTCCCAGCATATAGTTCACTCCAGTGGAATATTTTCAGGTCTAATTTTCTCAAACGCCTGTGAACACTTGTGAAATCCTGATAAACTGCTAATATTTGTTACACAAAAATACTGTCTACAGTGGTGCCTCGCTTAACGGGTGCTCCGTTTAGCAACAAAGATTTTGCGATCGCAAAAGCGATCACATTGCGATGTTTTAAATGGGTTTTTTTTGCTTTGCGATGATCGGTTCCCTGTTACGCTTACCGATCATTGCAAAACGAAGATTTTTTAACAGCTGATCGGTGGTTCTAAAATGGCCACTGGGTAAAAAAAATGGCCGCCCCCTGTGTTTTTGCTCGGATTCCTCGCTTAAGAGGCAGCAAAAATGGCCGCCGTATGGAGGATCTTCGCTTTAAGGTAATTTTTTTGCCCATAGGAACGCATTAAACAGGTTTCAATGTGTTTCTATGGGCTTTTAAAAATTGCATAGCAACGAAATCGCTTAGCAGCGATTTTTGCTGCACGGATTAACGTCACTATGCGAGGCACCACTGTGTATGTCTTCTTTTTACCAAAATGAAAACAGCAGAACAGTTCTCGATCTTTCCGGCTACCTCTTGATTTTCTTGAAGTGTGCTGGTGATATTTCACCCCAAATAGTTACTTATGAAATATTACAGTTTGAGGGAGTAATGCATAAACTTGCTTGTTGAATGAGAACAATATATCAAAGAACCTCTGAAGCACAATGACTATTTTGATCTTTAAAAGAAATGCAAATGTAGCCAGATTAAAATAGCATGCTCCTTCTATCCTTCCTTTTCTATTTTCAGTCTTTTATTAACTTTTATTCAGTCTTTTATTAACTTTGCTATCTGTGTCTTTCCAGTTCCTGTGGAGTGTGGTGCTATCAGTTATGTTATTATTGGTAGTCTTTCTTTCTTTCTTTCTTTCTTTCTTTCTTTCTTTCTTTCTTTCTTTGTTTCTTTCACTATTCTACTGCTATAACTGATCTACTAATTTGCTGTTTTGAACTCAGCCTTTGTCGGAATTATGGGTAACACAAGATCATACAAACTGCTAGACTGGAATAGTTTCAATTCAGGTATTTTATTAGTCATTCAGTACTACATATTCTGACAGAAATTATGGCAGCTCAGTGAAGTCTTTTTAGAAATGCTCTAGCTCATCACCAGGTTAATATTTCAAAATGTAATCTTTAAAAGGTGAAGAATGTTTTTAATTATATTAGTCCTTACTATTAAATTAAATCCTCTTATATTCCTTCAAAGTCCCCTCCTGCAGTTACTGTACATTCAGTTAATCTGATGATGTCCTGCTCCAAGTTCTTTTCCTCTGCTAGAAGAGCCAGATTTTTTTTTCTCTGCAAACCCTCGGTTTTAGAATTGAACACCTTCCATTGGCAGATCAAAACAGCTCTTTGTATTTTAATGTTTTGAAAGTAAGCAAATAATCTTTTTGTTCTATAAGATATTTGAGGTTTAGGAAGCCTTCTGGTTGTGGTTAGCTCTTGCTGCGGTTGGTTGACTGCTATGTAAAATTTAAATATATTTTACTGCTCTTATATATGTCACTATATTTTTAAATTGCTTAGAAAGACTGATTAGCTGAAGACTAAAGGAGAAATATAACGAAAGTGAAATGACCAGACCCTATTATTCAAATTTACCTGAAAAACTTCTACAAAATCATATAATCATATAGAACTTGTAATCAAAATGGAGGAGGGAACAGGTTGCTGTGACCGAGTAAAATTAAGAAAGTGTAACTATCAGATATCTGAGTTATGAAAGATTTACTGTAGATGTACTGTACTTTTCTATACATGGATGACGTAAATATAGTTTATAGTTCGATGAAGAAGGGGAATATCATTTAAATATTAATATTATTTCTGGAAAAAACACAACTATCGTTATCCTGTATGTGTATTTTGCGTGTGCGTGCATGCATATACACACATTATAGTGCTATACTGTACTGGGATTGAAGAGGAGAAAAGGGCTCTTAAATCCACATCAGATTTCTATCCAAGATCAGAGCAAATAATCCAGATCTGATGGCATTAATTTAAGAATTGAACTTGTGACTATTAGGTACGGTAGTGTCTACCTTTTAGTCCAAAGAGTCAATTCCAGTGAGGTGTTCACACATATGTTGATCTTCAGCTTGTTTTTATTAATTGTGTTACAGTTTATTGTTACAGTCCTTAGACCAATCACACGGGTGGGGGAGGGAGATAGACTTTTACAGTTTACAAAATTCCATATACAGTGGTGCCTCGCTTAGCAATTGCCTCATTTAACGATGTATTCGCTTAGCAATGTGGTTTTTGGAGCGATTTTGCGCTCTGTTTAGTGATGTTTCCTATGGGGAAATTTCGCATAGCGATGTTCGGGACCATGCCTCGCATAGCGATGATAGTTTAAGTCCCCCTGTTTCGCTTAGCGATGTCCACTTTCACTATTTTAAATGTGTCTTAAAATGTTCAAAAACTGTTTTAAATACTTGGAATTGTTAGTGCACCTTGTAAAACCTTTGCAAACGTAATTTGGCTTTGTTCTGAGTCTTTGTTAATTTTTGGGGATTTTTTTCTCCCCCATTGGAATGCATTGAACTGTAGGTTTGACAGGCATGGGGCCTAAGGTAGGGAAAGGAAGGGGTTGGGGGGTAGGCTGTGGTATTGAGTGGCTGTGTGGGGTGGTAGCTGCCTTTCTGCATTAACCGGTAGGCATAATGGTTTTTTTTTTGTTTTGTTTTGTTTTTAATATGAGGGACGAATAAAAATAGGTAAAACATTTGTCCCTTCATATTGGTGAGGGTCTCTGGAACCCATAAATACGGCTCTACAAATATTTAACAAATCGGCTATATTCATCGAAAAACTGATCCGTTTTTATATTTGTCCCCATCTCTAATCATGGGTATTAACATCTCCTTAAATTAAGTAACTGCGGCTCTCATTTGCATAAATAGTCATCCTGTTGATACTCATTTGAAAGATAGCATTGCAAATATTTCGCTTAAGCCTTGCTGATTTCATAAAGCTGCAATATTAGCCACAAGATCACAACTTCACTGTTTATGAAGCCATTTAAAAACTGGTGGTGCTCTTTGATAGTACGACTTATGATGACAAATGTTTCAGTTTACTTTTAAGACTTATTTAACATGGTAGTAAGGTTTCCTATTGGTTTCAGTGAGTATACAGTGGTTCCCCACATTAGGATGACCCCGCTTGACGATGAAATTGCTTGAACTTTTTTTTTTTGCAGTTGCTATAGCAATCGCAAAACGATGGTTCCAATGGGGCTTTTTTGCTGTACGACGATCAGGTCCCTGCTTCGGAACCGATTGTTCCCTACACAACGATTAAAAACAGCTGATCGGCGGTTGGCAAAATGGCTCCCCGCTGTTTTGCTGACCTCCTCTCTTCCCCCCCTCCACCTCTGCTTCCATCTTGTGGGCAGAGCTGCTGGAGAGGAGGAGGAGGCAACACGTTTGACTGTGAGCGAGTGGTGGGGCTTGCTTTGGGCTTGGCTGAAGGAACTCGCTTTGGAAAGTGGATGGTGCGCACTAGCGAACGAGCGAGCACAAGAGGAGGGGAGCAAGCGCACGTGTGCACATGCGCATCAGCCGGAGAACGCGAGCGTGAGAGAGAGAGCGAGTGATGAGAGAGAGAGCCATGGCCGGGAGCTCCGTGACTGACAGACTGACTGACAATAGGAAACAGCGAGCGCTGCAGTCAGGAAAGGAAGGCCGCCACCAAGCCCAAGCTCAGCGGTCGTTTCCTCCTCCTCACCGCACCCTGCCGGCAGCCCGGGCCCTGCTTGCTTGCTTGCTTCCTTGCTTGCTCACTGGCTCGGCGCCGCTCCTTCACCAAAGCCTTCTTGCCAGGAATGTGAGAGAAGGCAGCCACGCCAGGAGGAGGCGGCGGCAACAGCAGCAGCGGCGGAGGCATCTCTCACTGGGCAGCACCCTTATCTTTGGGGTGGGAGGGTGGTGGTGGCAGGAGGGCGGGAGAGGGGCCGGCAGAGCCTTGCATGGAACCGAGGAAAGACCGCTGCCACTCCTGCTCTGCTTGATGCCGCTGGCGCTGTTGCCCTGCGCCGGCGGAGCCTTGCATGGAACCGAGGGGAGGCCGCTGCCGCTCCTGCTCTGCTTGATGCCACTGCCACCGGCGCTGTTGCCCTGTGCTGGGGGGGGGAGGCTGACAAGG